ACCACCTCAATGTCCTAAAGGTTCTTGTCATATGATGTTTATTTTTCCAGGGGATGTACAGTTTTAAAACTTCCCACATTGGTATTTATCATTCGTCTTGAGTGAAATTTTGCATGTGGTGCGAAGAAAGACCCATTTTTGTCTGCATATGGATTTCTGATTTTCCTATCACCATTTTTAGAAACTGTATCATAGATTGATGCAATTTGGTTGCATGATCATCAAATGCCCATCAACTAGAAAAGTGGAAAGATTTATGTCTGAACCCCTTAATTATGTTTCCCAGATATAAATCTATCTGCAAGAGCAATAATTTTCTGGATTACTATAGCTTTTTAATGTGTTTTAAATAGAGAATTGGAAGCACTCCAAATTTATTTCTCTTTTGTCTTCTAGAAGATTTTTTGTACCTTTCATTACCAAGCACATCGCCTGTCTAGTTGAGAAATGAAGCTGAAACTTTGATAGACATTACTTGCCAAAATGCAATTTTAAGTGCCTGTTTTTACGTGAGAGCGCCCTACCCTACCCCCGATGAGATATCTCCTTTAATGTTCTCGGCGCGTTTCGCATTTTGTTCTTCAGTTCTCTTCCGTTCTGTTTATCCTCACCAAACTAACTCATCAAATAATTTACAAAGAAAACACATTCACCTGAGTACCTAATGCAGATGAAATCAACAATTACATAAACTCAGGCACTTGTCAATACTGAGATATGTTTCCACTGGACCTGGCACAAACCTAGGTTGTGGATGCTAAAACTGTCCAAACGGGGCATGGGAGAGAGCTCAGCAGGCTAAGTGCCTGCCTGGCATATACAGGGACTAGGGTTTGATTCCCAGGACCCTGGGGGCACTGTGCTGGATCTGAGACCAGGAGTGGTGGTCCCGTATTCCCATCGCTGGGGAGGCTGAAAACAAGATGATCACTACGAGCCTGAGCAGATGAACAAAATTTTAAAAAGATTTAAGAATGCAGTTACAACTGTCCAAAACCACTTCAGAAGGATCATTATACTCATTTCTTTCCTACTCTGCTAACTTTGTGTATCCAAATGCCGAAACAATATTCCTTAAGAATGAGCAAGAAGCATCTTTATTCAACCTCTGAGGAGGAGTGGGTTTTAAATATTAAAGTGCATACTCAAACAAAAAAAAAATAGCTGTTCTACTATGAAATGTTAAATACTACCTCATCAATAAGACATTGCCAGCATCCCCAGTTCTGAGGTACAAGTATCTCTTTTGCATACCTCTTCTTCTGATGTTTGTGCACATTACTTTTGATAACATCATTTACCAAAGTCAAACTATTTACAATATCACTTTGTTTCATAAACACAATGGAAACACTTCACGGAGAACTTGTATAATCTAGTCTGCAGAAAAGAAAAAGAAAAAGCATCAA